TTAATTTCAGGTGCCAGCAATATGGTTCCATTATACTAGATATTAACACTTCACAATAGATTGCAAATAAAACAGGAAATCAAGTAAAATGAAACTGATCGTTTAGTGCAGATACATTGAGAGACACTCTTCCAAATAATTCTGTCTAGAAGGGAAGATACACCTGTTCTCCCCTTGGAGTGCAGGGTAGGCAAAGGGGCATGGCACAATACCAGTACTCTCAAAGTTGGTACAAAAGAATAATAGATGGGTTGGCAGAGAAAATAACATATCTGAAACGTGGCAGGTCTAGTTTATGGCATGCATTTAGTACAGCCCCCCCCATGTGTGTATTTATGTATGTTCATGCTCATGTGTGTGTTGGTGTGTTATGGAGGCTCCCAGGACAACCTGAAATGTCAATACCAGTTTCATTTCTCATGGTCCATCTTTTTATCTATTTCTCTCTCTCTCTCTCTCTCTCTCTCTCTCTCTCTCTCTCTCTCTCTCTCTCTCTCTTGAGAACTAGTCTCTTACTTGGCTTTGAACTCTCCAAGTAGGCTAAACTGGATGACCAATGAGCCCTGGAGATCCATCTGTCTATCTCCTCAGAGCTGGGATTACAAGCACGCACCACCACACTGCCTTTTTAATCTCGGTCCTAAATGTGAGAGCCAGATCCTTGCACTTACAAGGGAAGCCCTTTACTGCCTAAGCAATCTCTGCTGCCCATACCAATCTCCTGAAATCCTTTGTGCATCTTTAGAAATGGTCTATACAGATTTCCCTTGTCAGTAAATGAATCTAGATTTTATAACTTCAGGAGAAACTAGCAATCTCTCCTATAAGTGAATTGGGGGTTGGTTTGCTTAGAGAAAACATCTGTTCATCTGTTTATTATTTCTGCCATTTGCCTGGTCATCTTTAAATTTGACTCTCTTCCTCTTTAAAATACAATGAAACTCTAGCAACTGTGTGCTGTTTTGACAATTTAGCCACGGTTTTAATGGAATACTTTTTAAGTGGGAGCCAGAAGGACATTTAGGGTAGGTATAGTGCAGCCGTATTGTCAGAACACCACATTTTCCTCGATCACTGAGATAAACTTTTCACATAGGCATGGGGAAGTTTAAAGCAAACAAACACCCATATCCACAGGGATTCTAAAGTGTCGCGTTTGTGAAGCTTTTTGTAAATTTGGGGTTGAGGGATCATTGATTCAGAGTCACTAAGCATTAAGCATAGAGCTGACTCCAAGAAGATGGAAACTTAAGAGAGAACCAGGCAGCTTCTTGTTGAGGACGATTGTTGTCTGGATTGTGCCTTTTCTTTGCCTTGCTACTTGTGCGTCCTTACTGGCCCTCGCCTGGAGTGCACAGAGTCTAATTTTATTTAAGTGTCCCATCCCAAGCCATCCTTTGTCCTTGTCATGTTTTCTTCATTGTGACTCTCGCCAAGGTTGCTCTGTTGTTGTCACGAGGCTCTTGACCTAGGATATTTCTGAGGTTCCCAGGTGCATCAGGTGGTCCTCTCATAGCCCTGTCGGTCCCAATCCTCTGCCTCCATCTTGATGACAAATCTTTCCATTCTGATCTTGACTTTTCTTTGCTCTCCTGCCTGTTTAAAGGTCTCCTGTCTTCCTCCCTGTCTTCGCTGAGAAGTTTGCCCACCTGAACATATAGCTGGTTCCCTGTCCACTGTCACTTAGTGAATTCTTGTCTCTCCATTCATCTCCACTCAGAAATTCAGTTATGGCTCCAAGTGCCTCCAGAGACCTGGAAATAGGATTAGTCTCCTGGACCATAGGACAAAGAGCAAGATTGAGGTGATTTTAGCAGTGGCCAACCTTCCCCTGGCTTCTTCCCATAGCCTCTCTTGTTTTCTGTTAAGGTATGTATCCTCACTTAAATGCGGAGGCCCAAAAGCTGATCTTTCCGAAGTAGAAAGAAGAACAGTGATTATAGAGTCTAGAAAAAGTACGGAGGAAGGGTAGAGAGAAGACGGTTAGTGGATTCCCGTGTGCAGCTGAATTGGAGGAATGGCATCTTATATTCTACAGCACAATATGGAAGCTATGGCTGGCAACAATTAATTGCGTAGTTCAAAATAGCTGTTAGAGAAGGGTTTTCATGCTCCCAACTTATACATACATACATACATACATACATACATACATACATACTTGTCCATCATCTTGATCATTACAAACCGTAGGTATGTATTGAAATTTTATTGTTATATACACTTACTATCTATCAATTTTAAATATATTATATTAGTATAGTTCTGTTGAATGTTCTTACATTAATTACATCACCTATGTGTAACAATTTAAGGTAACCAATGCTGGTGACTCATGTCCCAGCAGAAACAGGAAGACGTGGGTGACCCAGAAGGGTCTGTGACAGTGTGCTTCTGTCATCTCTGCTTAGCTACTCTCCAATCTCCAAAGGGCTTCCAATTCTGAAGCAAAGCACCCTTCTCCAGGGTTCTCAGTGCATCCCATGCTGAGTCTGCTCTCCCCACATCCTGCCCTGACCCACACTCCCCCATGGGCAAGAGTGTGACTATTGCCTGCTCACCAGCATTGGCCTGGGTGTGACTACTGCCTTCTCACCAGCATTGGCCTGGGTGTGACTATTGCACTCTCACCAGCATTGGCCTGGGTGTGACCACTGCACTTTCACCAGCATTGGCCTGGGTGTGACTATTGCACTCTCACCAGCATTGGCCTGGGTGTGAGCACTGCACTTTCACCAGCAGCAGGGCTTTCTGTAGTAAAGCAGCTGTGGAATTTGCTCAGCCATGGATTTTCACCTGAGTTGGTTCAAACCCGAGTGCCTACAGACGTGGCAAACATTACTAGCGGTATTTTCTCATCGTTGTGTTCCAACTTCCCACTTTATCCTTACACTCAGAGTCCCCTGTTTGCTCTGTGCCTCAGGTTTCAGGCAAACACCCCCTTTGATGATAGCACCTTCCCCACATTAATCCTTTTGTATCCCATTAATTCCTGGAGAAAAATAAATAAAGTCAACTTCCCCACAGCCTGCCTTCTCCCCCTCCAGGGGTTGTCATGTCAGATTTCATCCTTTTGTTGGAAGTGGTCAGCGGTTCAACATGTTGTTTCTCTTTTCCTCCCAAATTTGCATCTGGAGCTCAAACTGCTTCTGATTTCCTCCCAGCTCTCAGAATAATGGGATTTGTTCCTTTCTTTCCTCTTCCTGCCCACCTGCCCTGTTGTGTATTTATTCTGTGTCCTCACAGCCTTCGTTTTTGGCCAGCTGTGTACTGACGGGTTGGCCACCCTCATATCTACTCATTGCTCCTTTGTCTCTTCTTCTAGCTTCTGGCTCTCACCCTGCTGGCTCTCACTGGCCATCTACTGTTTCTTTGCTTTACTGTACTTTCCACTTGAGAATTCCCTTGGGATCCAAGGAACACTGTCCTATTTACTTCTTTAGCTTCTTATGACACCATTATGTAGGAGCCTCACTTCTGACTGAAGCAGATCTCCGAGACGCTGGTTCTCTACACTTGTGCACACTACACTGTCAAAGCAAAGGAGACTTGGGTTCTAATCCCAACAGATGTACTCTGGTAAACCATTCCAATGAGATCCCAAGGGTCCTTAATAGCTGGATTGATTTTGTCACATATCCAGTATGGCCCCCATTTTATGTAGTCTTTATGTGTGCTCTCACTGAATTCTCCTTAAAGCTGGGGTATGGAACATCACCAGCTGTATTCAAGGTAAGATCTTCAGCACAGAGGAGTTTGTGACTTCCTTGTTACGCAAGTCCTTATTAGTAACCAGATTTGGCCAAGGAAATTTGCCTTCAGATCCCATGCTCTTTATTGCCAGCGTCCACAGCATTTTTAATATCTATACTCCTGGGTTCCATCTCTTCTCTCAGTTCCTTTAAGTACTTCTAGAGACGCAAATCCTTTATTTGGCCACAATCTAAATAAACAGAGAAAGAAGAGTCCTTCTTGAACTCAAGAAATCGTACGACTTCCTCTTTATTCACCAAACTTCTATTTCTTTGGCAAATCAAGCAGTTCCTTCCTTTTGATGACATGCCTTCAGAGCCTTGCTCATGACTCATTTTACCAAATATAGATGAACTCTCGCAGTCCTTTGCAGACGTTTCCTGTGTCAAGAAGAGCAGCCCGGTGAGAGCATGGCTCCCCCTCGGATACCCACAGCCCTCATCTGAGCGCCACGTGCTCCCGATCCTATTTCCCTCTTTAGGTCATGTGTTGGCCATTGCACGGTTGACGTCATTTTGTAGCACAGAGGACCATTGTAACCCTCTGCTTCCCAAGAAAGGGTCTCACACTTCTTTGCTACTTTTGATTTCTTCTTACAATGGCTAACATGGACCCTGCTGATTTTTGAGTCCTTGATCTTCATTCTTCTGTTTATTTCCTTCTGTCTTCCAATCTATAAGTTTTAAGATATATTTTCCTAAGAGGCAACCTAGGCTTATGCTTGCTATATTCTTTTCTATCATCTCTCCTCCTTATCCACACACTACTTACACCGACCTTTCTGTTCTGGGTCATGTTACTTTTTCTACCTCAAGACCTCGCTAGCTTTTCCTCTTTGGGGGATGGTCTTGTCTCTGACTCACAGAAGCTTTCAGAGGACACACTTCAAAGGCTCGATTCAGTGCCTCTGTCATTACACCTCATTTTAACTTTCTGTGCAGTTGTAAGGTCTTAAATTTACAATCATGACTCGAGTTTCAAATGAGTTCACAAGACAGTAGGCAGAAGAGGTTTCCACATTGTAGAACGAGGTGTCAGACCACCTTCAGGACATTTAAAAGGTGCAGGCCAACTGGTTTTTCCAACTCCCAGCTGCACATCAAACTGCAGCCTAAACAGTGAACTGGCAGAATCGTGACAAACACTGGACATTAGCAGTGGCTGTTTCAGAGAGGACTGACGGCGTGTTATGGGTCTCTCCTCACAGACAAACACACTGATGGAGAAGGTGTGAGTGTGGGAGTCATCGTCCTCTGGTTTGCCTGCTGGAGATCACTGAGTAAAACTCCATGACCTTGACTTACATCCATAGTAGGCTGGGGATTACAATTGTCTACAGGTGAGAGGTGAGTTACTCTGAGTGGCAAAGAGGGCACGGGATGATTTCCAGCATTGATCAGAACTAAGGACACACACACAGAGACACACACATACCCACTCCTTTTTGGAACAGATAATGATCACCGAGAGAATGCCAACTGAACACTCTTTAAAATCCCGTCAATAAGAGCCACTGTGAACAAGGGAGAACTTGCAAAGACCTGGGTTACTGGATTCCCGGCAGCTGGAAGAGGAAGCGCATGCCTTCACACAGAAGAAGGTAGGCAAAGCTGCAGAATCCATGCAGTGATTGCATCACTGATTCGATTTCTCCGTTTGTTCACTGCCCTGCTTTCATAATGCCCGTCACTTACGATTAGAAAATAAATTTGACAAGAAAGAGTAAGAACCTTGGAATGTCATTAGTATAGTTATGAATGAATAATTAATAGCTATTGATTGCTTGATTGAAATAGATAAAGACCAGGAAATCGTAAACTGCCTCTCAACTCGCAAGGATGCACTGGCCTCTTCCCCCAAGGGCTGCGATTAAAGCCCTGCCATCATGCCTATCCCTGGACCAAAATCATAAATATCAAATACATAAGTTTAGACAATGTGATACTGGAAAATAAGAGTTTATAACATCATAAGATTACAGAATATAATCCAAACGTTGTGACATTTTAGAGCAAAAGTAAAATGTCAAATCTTAGCAAAAATAATTTCAATTGTAATGAACTTAATGTAAACATTTACTTAGTACTCATAGAATTGACTTCAATTTGTATTCATGTGTATAAATATACATTTCATATATAACAAATGAGGCTAGTATATAAGTATATATTTATATATTTCAACTTATAAGAATTATATACTACTTTCTCAACATGAAGCTAGAGTATTTGTAGAATATTGATAGTTTAAATAATAGTTTAGATTTCAGATTTCAATTTTTTTTTGTTTTTTGAAATAGGGTTTCTCTGTGGTTTTGGAGCCTGTCCTGGAACTAGCTCTTGTAGACCAGGCTGGTCTCGAACTCACAGAGATCCACCTGCCTCTGCCTCCCAAGTGCTGGGATTAAAGGCGTGCGCCACCACCACCCGGCTTAGATTTAAGATTTCAATAGGAAAAAGATGCAACTAAACTATAAGACTGAGAAAAATTATCTAACAATTATTTTGTTAGGTTATTCCTAGCAGTAATTACTTTTAGTATAAATAAATACCCTAATCAAAAGATCTGTGGTCGTTGAATATATTTTGAAAAAGGAAAAGCAAAACACAATTGTATGTTGTGTATAAGAGAATCATTTTATAATTAAAACACATATAGACTGAAGTTAAAGGTATTTGAAGAGATAGTTTGTGCCAGTGTTAGCCAAGAGAGCAGAGGTGGCTATACATGTATCAAACAAGATAGACTGCATGTCAGAAATTGTCACAAGAAACAAAGAGAAACATTAAACTGTGAGAAAAAACTAGTTCACCAGAAAGCATCACAATTTTAACTATATAGGCACCAGATGAAGAAAATACCACCTAAATATATAAAGCAAGCCATGAGAGAACAGAAGAGATATAAATCAGTATAATAATGCGACAGGAGATTTCAAGACTCCACTTTCATCTAGATCATCTGTGTAGAAAAATCCACAGGGAAATAATGGCTTGACTGGCAGTATATACCAAATGTTTTAGGAGACATATATAGGGCTTTCTGTCAAAAAGGGCAGAATCCATATTCTTCTCAAGTAGGCACTGAATGTTCATCTTCAGGAGAGATGACGACTTTAATTTTAAGAAGACAGAAAGCATATCGAATATCGACTCAACTGACAACGGAATAAAACTAGACACAGGAAAATCGAAACAAAACCACAAATACATTTGAAGTTAGACTTCAATGTCATTCAAGATGCCATCAAAAGGGAAGCTAGAAAAACATGGAGACAAAACACACCGCAGTGAGAGGGTGCAGGAGGACCAGGACCAAAGGGGATGCTAACATAAGGGTGAAGATCTGGATTACAAAAGAGAACCCTGATTTGATCAGTACAGTGTACACACAGGCTTTGCCTTGCTGCCAGGTGTCCTATAAGTATTTTAATGACTAAAAAAGAAAATATCAGACTTGCTACCTCCAAGAAGAATGTGTTAAGCTCAAAATTGGCAAAAGAAAGCAAATCCACACATTAGAACAGAAATGAAATGTAAAATAACAGTGTGAGGGTTGATTTTTGAAAAGATTAAAGTAATCATAAATGATGTTATTATTGAAATGATTGTTAGTCTCTAGTTAGATTAGAACAAAAGACATAAATAGATAAAGTCAATCAACACCACAGAAATCAAGAAGGCTGTTCAGAGTCTATTAAAAGCAATTAGACTCCTAATAAAAACATTCCTCCTACAAATACAGAGTCATGAATGAGTGGAAAATATAAACAGAGCAATAGCCAGAAAGAAAATTGAATCAAGAATTATTAATTAGCTGCTTTTTTTAAAAAAAAATGACATCCCAAAATTTGCAGGCAAATGGGTACAACTAGAAAAAACCATCTTGAGTTAGGTAACCCAGACGAAGAAATACAAATATGGTATGTACTTACTTACAAGTGGATATTAGCTGTTAAATAAATGATAATCAAGCTACAATCCACAGACTCTGAGAGCCTAGGTAAAGAGGAGGACGCTAGTGGGGCTTCATGGATCCCCCTGGGTAGAGGACAGAGATGTTTCAGGAGGGCTGTGGGGCAAAGGGGAACGAGAACAGAAGGGACCAGGTAGAAGAGGGACAACTTCTGAGTGGCATTTGGTGGGCAGTCAGGAAGTCTAGTGCTGTAGAAACTTCCCAGAATCCATGAGGGTGACACTACTAACTCTCCTAGCAATGGAGTTTGAACAGTCCATCTTTTGTAGCCAAGCAAGGCTTCCAGGGATGGGACTAGGTTTCATTCAATTGAATTATTGGCCAAGGGGGTCCCATAGAGGTCCCTAAACAACCCAGGATGATGCAAGGGAAGAGGTCACTCTCCACAAACTGACAGTAAACCCCACTGCTGAGACCAACATCCATTATATGTAGAGAGATAGAGCTGGTGCCTACATAGGGCCTTAACCCCTATGTTCTAGTCTTTGGTGTGGGCAGGTACTTTTCAGGATATGGAAAGAGGAACCTGGACACCAACCCAGCCACAAAACCCATGACCTACAATCTTTCCTACCTGATTGACGTACAAACCTGTACACCAACCCAGCCACAAAACCCATGACCTACAATCTGTCCTGCCTGGCAGATGTGCTGGAGAAATGGTGGCCTAGAACTGTGGGGGTGTCTAACCAGTGTCCAGTTTAATCCGAGGCCCACAGAAGGAACTCATGCCCTATGCTACCAGGAGGGCCAGGAACTAGAGACTGGCTAGCCAAGAGACTTAGGGCAGAACCAAACACAACTAAAAACAAAAACAAAAACAAAAAAAATCAATAAAAGGATACCTAGTGATATTCTGGGATACTCATAGATCAGTGCCTTGTCCAGGCATCATCAGAGAGGCTTCCTCTCACAGCAGAAGAGAAATAGGTGCAGAGACCCCCAGTGAGACATCATGGAAGCCTCAATCAGGCCCCTCCCCTCAGAGATCCAGGGACCAGTGGAAGTGGGGGAGGACAGACTGTAGGAGCCAGGCACGGAGGACACTAGGAGAATATGGTTCCCTGAATCAACTAACCAGGGCTCATTTGGGCTCACAAAGACCAAAGTGATGATCCCGGGCCCTGCATGGGTCTGCACCGGGCCCTCTGTGATTATGATTGTTAGCTTGCTGGCTTGGTGTGAATCCTGAGAGGACTGTGTGTCTCTGATGCATTCCTCTGTTCCTGGGACTCTTTTCTTCCTGCCTTGTCTAGCCTCACTAGGAGAGCGTTTACTTTGTTGTATTGTATCGCATTTTGTTGTGTTTGGTTGTTGTCTCTTGGAGGCCTGGTCTTTTCTGAAGGGAAACAGAGAAGTGGATCTACGGGAGAGGGAAGGTGTTGGCAGGGAGTAGAGAGAGGGGAACCTGTGGTCGGGAGGTAGTCTATGAGAGAAGAATCTATTTTCAAAAAAACCAGAGTGAAACAAACAGAGAAAGAAACAAAAGCCAAGGGTAGAGTTGCTTCTCTGATGAATTCCTCCATCAGTTAAAGAATAAATACATAAACTTTTCTTCCAAAATACCTAAGAGGGTAGGAGGCTTCTGAACTCATTTTTATAATATTGTTCTGATATCAAAGCTAGGCATGGGCAAAGAGAAATCCTGTTGTAAGTGATTCTACGAAGCATTTGATGGAGAATGCTAGGAAGAGTGGGGTGGCCGGAAAATCTCACAGAGGAGGTGTGATGAACTACAAAGGATGAGGGTCCATGCATGGGAACTACCAGAGTAAAGTAAGCTGGACGGTCAGTGACTGTGAGGAGGAAGGACAACCACAGCCTTGAGCGAGGCAACTGCTGGTCAGAGGAGCTCAAGAAGAAGCTGGGAGCTTCCATACTTGTGTGGAGTTTTTCTCTGCCAAGGCATCCATAGACCATCCTAAGATAAAAATTATTACGAGAAACACATACACACACACACACACACACACACAAATCACTGGGCTGTCAAGTTGAGATGTGAGCACATGTTTCAGAGGTGTTTGGGACAACTTATTTCAAACACTATTTCCTAATCTGGTTTATAGATCTTCTGAACTATGACTTGAAATCTGTGCTTTAGAAAGTATAACAGGAGAGGTGGGTGTGGTGGTGCACACCTTTAATCCCAGCCCTCAGGAGGCAGAGGAAGGCAGCTCTCTGAGTTCCAGGCCAGGCTGGTCTACAAAACAAGTACCAGTATAGCCAGAGCTACACAGAGACACCCTGCCTTGAAAAAACAAAAAACAAAAACAAAAGAAAGAAAGAAAGAAAGAAAGAAAGAAAGAGAGAAAAAAAGAGAGAAAAAAGAGAGAAAGAAAGAAAAAAGGAAGGAAGGAAGGAAGAAGAAAGAAGAAAGAAAGAAAGAAAGAAAAAAAGAAAGAAAAGGAGAAACAATTTCCCTTTGTCCATAAAGTCTGAATTATATAGCATTGTGTTAAAATTTGAACTCTATTTTCCTTCCAGTTTCATACACCATGATTCCATTTGAGGTTGTGTCTTTAATAAATGCTTTAATTAGTATATAAATGAAAGAATAACTGTATAGTATAAGCATGGCTTGGCATTTTAACCAGATAAGTATTTTATAAGTGTATTTTAAAA